TGGGCTTTGGGTCTCCACTCCGCACTCCCCTCATTCACAATGATAGGATTTTTTTGTTCTTTAATGCCTGATACCTTCAACACCTCATGATCACATAAGCTGGTGTGCTTCTTCCATGTGGGCTGGTTGCTTCACTGCTGGATGGCTGCTTTTTTATTTTCAAGCCTTTAAGACGCTAGATGCTACAACTTTTGATAGTCCGACACCATCGCTTTCTTCACCACATTTGCTTATGCACCCGTTTTGTCTTCAGCGATTGTGCAACTTACCTCGTATTTACAACTAAATTTTATCCAGTCTTCATTCTTTATGGGGAAGCTGATCCAAAGAAGATTGAACAGAATCACAAATCAGTAGGATTGCAAAGTGTTTATGTGTTAGAAAACTCATTTCACCATAAAGGAAATAAAGAAACAAAAACAAATTGGTAAAACCTCAGGGGTTAATGCTTAAAAAGCGTGATGCTTTAGTAGAAAATACCATGGTAAAGATTTTTTTGTGTACCACTTTTCATTTTGCTTCATATACTTAAAAATGTAGCTACAAATTCTTAACAATGAAGCATAAAAATGTCCTGTGAGTATACAACCTGTTGCATTTGTGGGAACTACTTTCCCTAAGATCACAACTAATAAAACAGCCAGATTTTAGCACTTTTCCTTTTGTTCATTTTCAAAATGGGAATAATTCCATCTAGTCCAAAAACTTCTTGTAAATCTTAAATAGTAAATTCCCCTGATACAGCTCAGGGGAAGACAGTCAATTTTTTAAAAATAAATATCAAAGTTTATTAGTGGTTACTAAGGTCAGTATACAGAAAGTTGGGGGTGGAGGGTAGGGGTGATGGAAAAACTACAAGGATCATGGAATGTTAGCTTGCAAACAGATTCTTGTAATTGCTGTCAATAAGGCTTAAACCTGTAAATAACTGAAAAGGCAAAAGTTGTGAGATAGATATACAAGGGGGCTTCAAAAAGTTTGTGGGAAACTTCCATTATTTTCAAATTTATTTAGAGTCATCACTGGGGCTATTTCTTGCTGCTGGTTTCTTTGCTGGCCTGCTCTTCCACCTGCATGACCAGGACCACGGCCTTCCTGAAAGCTTGCAGGACTGAGAGGTAATTGGGATGCATGGTTACAGTGGGTTCTGCTTTGTTCTCAATTTTCTCCAGGTCATAGTCTGGCTGCTTGGCCATCTTGGGAGAGCTTAAGTCAGGTTGGCCCTTGCTTTGAACTGAAGAGGTGCAAGCAGTCTCGGGAGGAGGCACCACTGGGCACACCGACTACACAGTGCTCAGGCTGCTGGCACTTCTCTGACAGTCCATTTTAAGATCAGTCCTAGATATAACCCTTTCTTGGGAAAAAGATTTCTTACTCTATGAAATATACAAACCAACTAAGAAATTCACTTTCACAATTATGAAAATATAAAAATTGTGCCTTACAATGAAAGTTTCCATTTATATGATCTACTAGTTTCATTAAAAATATCAATTTTTTTTACAAGTAATGATATTTGAGCACTTACAAATCTTCTGACTTTCTCCATCAAGGACCACAGCTCATAATTTAATAAATGAATTTTATCTTAGAATTTCTATACCAGCTTAGACTCAAAATGGAAGAAAAGCCAAATCTAGGTCTGGCAATATACTTTTCCATATTTTGAATACATCTTGTCAGCTTGACCAGTGTACTGCAGGTTCATTGCCTAAGTGGCTGAGCAGCCTCTAGCTTGCCTCATCCACAAACACTTTCCCAGTCTCCACTTTCCTGGTTGAGTTGCAGAGTCCTGGAGGTTTTGAAACGTTCACTATGGTACACTGTAATCCCAAATCCTAACAGATAAAATACTCTAAACCATACGAGGTAATTTTATTTTATTATATTGTTTGAGACTTACTGTATTCCACGAATACCTTGAAAGACTCCATTATATGGTTGGCATGTCAAAGTGCATCTATGTCCCAAGAGAATAAGCATCATTCTTCATTAAAAAAAAACATTTTCCAGGTCCAATTCAACTCTTAGATATCAAGATGTTGCATCTATAACTATCTCAGAAATGTATACTCAACGCTTTAAGAATTAACGTTAAACCTTGTAAAACATGTTGAAATTTGTATGAAGTTGAAGAAAGCGCCTAGACAAGTAAATTGTATCTATTACCTATAAGTAAACTCGACGACGGCATAAATTTTGATTTACCTTTCTATAGATCCCAGTTTATAAGAAGGACTTCAAGAAGTTAGTTGAATAATGGGGTTGAAGGGCAATGTAACTTTTCCAAGAATTTTAAAGCATAGATACACATATACTATGTATAGTAGGCTAGATATAGGACACACGATCCAGCCACATTTCATCCTGTTTCAAGGTTCAAATGAGAGGGAACCAACTAGATGGCACCAAACATCATTTACAACATAGATGAGTTTATTTGGTGTTTCTGGATGACGCACCCTGTTAAGCGCTCCACGATTAGTTGAAAGGTTGGCTGACGATAAGAAACCATCCAGAAGCACCTCGGAGGAAAGCCCTTGCGGACGGCTTCTGAAAGGTCCAATCCTTGAAAACCCTACGGAGTTCTATAGTGCACATACATGGTCGCCCGGAGTCGGGAAGAACTAGAAGGCAACCTAAAGCGGCTGCTCCGGGGAAAGCGGGCGCGCCACCCGCAGCGGGGTACTGCGCTGCCGCTCGACGTGGCCCTGGCTGGAGTAGTCGCGCAGCCAAGGCAGCTCGCGGCCCCACTTTATTAAGTGCCGATCGCCTCAATGGACAAATAGGGAAACCAGGACCGCCTCATCCCGCACTCCTGGAAGGTTTCATGCAGCAGCGCCCTACGACTCAGCCTCCGCTTCTCTGCAGATGTCTTCCGGTTCTCTAGTCCCGCGAGACTTCGCGCGTGTCCTGCCCCCTCGCGGCCCCACCTCCGCCGGAACCCCGCCTCGGGCCCGCCCACTCCCAATGGCAGGCAGCAGAGATACAAGCCTGCAATCTGGCTCAACAGCAAAGCCCGCTCCCAACTCCAGTCTGATAGGCGGATGGAGGCAGGGGGCGGGAGTTAAGGGGGCGGGATCTAGAAGTATCGCGAGAACAGCGGCAGATCTGGTAGGCGCTGGGGGCGTTCCGTGGTGGAGGGCTGCTTTCAAGTTGGCTTTGGGAGACCCTCTAGACTGTTTTGGGGGCAGAAAAAGGCGCTGCTTGAGATATTTCGCGGCCTTCCGCGTTGAGGCCTCATCTCCAAATCAGTCGTAGTTCGGCTGAGCCACAGGGAAAGTCCGGGGGCTGGTGCCGAGGAGGGGCGGCCCCCAAACTGTGGCCTGTCCTCGTGCAAGCTTCCTTTTCTGGGTGTTTGCTTCCTGTGGGTGACGTCCCTCCGGGCAGGGAGCCAATGTCCAGTCTAGGAGTCTGAAGGTGGTTTCCTTTCCTCCCCTTACGCCATGTGCTTGCTGTCCCTGAAAGCCACGCGACAGTCCAGCTGCTGTCTCCCGGGGAGAGCGCCTCCCTAGAGAGGGTCAGCCCTGGGGGGGGTGACGAGGCGGGAAGGAAGCGCCCCAAGAGGGTCTGGGGGCGGGTCCTCCCGCGCGTGTGTCCCCCGTTTCCCGACCGGGCCTGCAGGTGCTCAAAACCACGCTGGATTATGATTCGCATCACAGGAACCCTTCAAAAATATCCATTTCCGGTCCCTCTCCAGAAGCCCAGAGCTGTTCGCTCACATGGTCAAATTACCTGCACTGATGGTACTGAAAATCCTGCTGCCTTTTTGGAGGCAGACATTTAGGCTGGAGGAAGTTGTAGTTTTCCTTTATCACACACAACTCCCATTTAGTCGATGCCGACTCAACAGTGAACCAATCGGACACAGTAGAACTGCCCCTGTGAGTTTGTTTCCAACAGTTAAACAACTGTTTTTGGGAGTAGAAAGCTCAGTCTTCCATGGAGCGGCTGGTGGTTTTGAACTGCGGACATTGTTGATCCCAGCCCAGTGCATAACCACTATTCCGCCAGGGCTCGTTTATCATAAGGATTGTTAAGTTTAGGAGCTGAAGGCTTTTACAGTTAATGCCATTCCATCTTTGATTGCAATTCGAGGTGTTTTTAGGAGATGTTTTCCAAGCAGCTAGCTGCTGTATGTGTGTGCTATACCAGATACCCAGGAGTAATTTACTCTTAGAATAATTACATGCAGTATTACTTAATGTTTCACACTGGCTCGTTTTTCTCTCCTACAAATTTGCAATCTAACCAAATTTTGGGCATGCCTTCCTTGTATTCTAATACCCTAGCACAGAATTACATACCTAGTATTTGGTGTAGGGGGTTAGGCCTTGAGCTAACTGAATGGTAAGCAGTTTGAACCCACCAGTCCCTCCTTGTGAGAAAGGAGGCTTTCTGCTCACAGAAAGATCACAACTTCCTGGACCCACAGGGCCAGTTCTACCCTGTCCTATAGAGCCCTGTGGGTACTATAGGGTCTCTACAGCTGGAATCCATTCAGTGGCAGCGGGGTTGGTTTCCTATGTACAGGACATTTTTGTGCATGAACAAATAGAATCTTGTTCTTTACTATTAGTTTAGGGAACTAAAAGCGAGTGATAGAGGAGTGTGAACGTTCGAAGCATGGAGGAAAAGTTTAAGTTCACCCCATCTGATTCTCTCAAAAAGAAAATGAATGAGCCAAATGAATGTTAACTGGTTCAAGTCTGTGTTCGCCCCGAGAGGGCTGGATAATATCTTAATTCTTGGGGCCACATGAATCCCTTAGAGCTGCCTGCTAGGGTCAAGGAAAATGGAATCTATAAAGAATTTGAAAAACCCAAGCTTAGTAATAGCTGCCATGCGAGCAACCAAGAATGCCCTGAGCTTTATGTTCTCTCTCATACAGAATTTCAGTGGACTGGATCCTTGCTTATTAAAATCAACCAACCAAGCGGAGTAGTTGATATCAAACTCTGGCTGTCCCTAGTGTGCAGGGTAGAATATTTAAAAACATAACATTGCCACTGCCATCGAGTCAATCCTATCTCACAGCGATGCTGCAGGACAGGCAGAACTGCCCCCTGTGCATTTCTAAATCTGTAACTCTTTACAGGAGTAGAAACCTTGTCTTTTCCCCCATAGAGTGGCTGGTTTCCTGATTTTGAACTGCTGACCTTGTGGCTAGCCCAACTACTAATCCACCAGAGCTCCTTTAAAAACGTAAGGCCCATCTATATGTTTTCAACTGCTTGGGAATACTTTTGGCTGTCTGAATGCATACCCAGATTTAATTTTGTTCCCTCTTTCAGTTTTCCCCTGGAGGTGAATTGGCAGGTCGGGCTATGCTGCTGTTCTTCGTGCTGGGGCTGCTGGTACATGTTGTGTTCTTCGCCTCCATCTTTGACATCTATCTGACGTCTCCCCTGGTTCACGGGATGACTCCTCACTGGACACCGTTGCCTCCTCCGGCGAAAAGACTAGTGTTGTTTGTGGCCGATGGTCTGCGAGCCGACACACTTTTTAAGTTAGATGAAGAGGGAAATCCCAGAGCACCGTTTATCAGGTGAGCATGCCCACTGGTACAAAGTCATCTCTTGAAAATGTTTATAGTCTTAATTAACATTCTATAATTTACTTCTAGGTTCTTATATCCATTTTAATGGGTATACTGAAACTCAGACAAAATTCATGATTAAAGGGTTTGTTAACAGGTTGTAATGCCAATGAGAATTGCTCAGGTAGTTGTTTATCAGGACACATTACAAAGTTTTAGATCTGCTAATAAATGCCCAAAGGGGCATACCACTTTGTTGTAAGCCTCAGCTCAAACTCTGTGGGTCAGCACACCCTGTTTCCTGTATTAAGTCTCAGAGGTTCCCCACTCCATAGCTGTCCTCCTGCACAAAAGCACTCAGCTTTACTTGGTCCGTGGGTTGGGAAGACCATCAGTCTGTTCCATGTTGACTCCTGGCTCTGCTGCTGCTCTGCTGATGGTACAGCTGTCTTCTGAATTTAGGAGGTTCATTGTGCAGGGATCTGGGGTCCAGAGGATACGGTCCACTCCTGGCTCTCTTGCTGGTAATGAGATCTCTCTTGCTGCATCTCAGAGGGCTCATTTTATACACAGCAGGATAGCATTCCAGGGAATCCTATTCTCAATTATTCACAGGTGAATCCTATCAGTATCTTTCCCCACCTTCTTCCCAGACCCAGGCAAGGAAATTTGTTTGGTGGGAGTTAGAGACTTTGACTAGATGAGCCCTATGAAGTCATTCACTGCCCCTGCAAAGATTACCCTGAGTTCAAATAAACAGCGAAATGTCTGACTGTGTCTCTCACATGGGGTGCAGGGATGATGGTGAAGAGACTGGCACATGTACGTGTGTTACAGATTGCACCACATTCCCTGCAGGCGTCATCTGTACATGTCTGGCATCTGACTGGTGAATTGACGTGGATGGTCTTAGCTGCTTGGTCCGACAGGTCCTGAACGGGAACAGAACTCTATTACAAGTTTCTTAAAAATAAGCCTGTTTACAGCTTTGTAATAATAACAGGCCTAAAACTTAACCCCCATTACCATTGATTACTTAACCAGGAAACCTATAATTTACCTCAAAATACCACCTTCTGTAAAAGGAAGCCCTTGCAAGGAGTGCAGTTCTGCTAACTGTGGCTTTGCCCCCATTAACCATCAAGCGAAAGAAAAGTGTACTATTTTAGGTTCATGGGCACCCCACTAAGAATCGGTCTTATTAGAGGTAAATCCCTCACAATCTATATTTTGTTAAATCTCCCCCGGTGCCTCTCTGAAAGCTGTGCGGGAAATTAAAATTTATTTGGAGAGTTGTCTAACATTCCCAGACAACTCACTGTCCCTTCCTCACCCTCACCCCCCACCAGCACTTTCTGTACGGCTGCCCTGTTTTGTTTTTCTTTATGGATCTTATGTGCTCATTCATGTGTAAATTCCTGGAGGCCTGGGAATTTGACTGTTCCTGCATCGCTTTATCCCAGCTTTTCCAAACGTGGTACATGCTGAGCAAAGAACTTGTTGACTGACTGAAGAATGAGTGAATGGCTAACTTTAAAGCCACATTGCATTTTCAGAAATAGACTGTAGGGGCTTAAGAAAAGACATAAGATATAGTAGAAAAAGTAATAAATAAGCAAATGAGGACCCCGAGCAACAAGAATGGGAATATAAATCAAGCCAAAGTTAAGTATTCAGAATTTCATAACAGAAAGTTCCACCAATATAGGAAATATTGGGGTGAAATGTTTGAAGGTAGCTTTAAAAAGGAGAGAAATATAGTTCATTGCAAAAAAATAGAAAGTACTATTGGGAAGGAAGAGCCAAATGCGCTGGGTGCTCAGCGCGCTATTCTGTTGGGTCTTGCTGAAGGAGACGTGGGGTCCTGTGGTTGTGGGAAGCAGAGCCATTGTATGCTTACATTTCAGAAATATCTGCTTTTCCTAAACATGCCTTTTGAAAGGTTTTATTCTCTTAAAAAAAAAAAAAAAGAATTATGGGCTCAACAACAACAACCCAAAACTCACTGCCATAGAATTGACTCTAACTCATAGCGACCTTCGAGGACAGGGTAGTACTGCTCTTGTGGGTTTCTGACAGTGTAAATCTTAAAAAAAAAAAAAAAAATCATTTTACTGGGGGCTTCGACAGCTCGTGGTCACACATGCTGTTGTGCTTCTTCCATGTGGGCTTTGTTGCTTCTGAGCTAGTTGGCTGCTTGTTTATCTTCCAGCCTTTAAGACCCCAGATGCTATATCTTTTGATAGCCGGGCACCATCAGCTTTCTTCACCACCTTTGCTTATGCACACGTTTGTCTTCAGTGGTGGTGTCAGTAAAGCGGGCACCCACTGATATTATTTTCAGTTCTGTGATGTCTGATAATTGATCCCTTCTACACCTCGTGGTCAGACAGGCTGGTGTGCTTCGTCTGTGTGGGCTTTGATGCTTCTCAGCTAGATGGCTGCTTGTTTGCCTTTAAGCTTTTAAGACCCCAGACGCTATATCTTATGGTAGCCAGGCACCATCAGCTTTCTTCACCGCCTTTGCTTATGTTCACATTTTTCTTCAGCAATCGTGTCGGCAGGTGTGCATCCTAGAATGCCAATTTAATAGAACAATATGTTCTTGCAATGAGTAAGTGCTTGGGTGGAGGCCCAATGTCCATCTGTTGCCTCAATACTAAACCTATAAATATATCCACACTCTTATATAAATATATTTACATATGTACATTCCAGTCTCAATCTTTAAAAATGTCAGTAATGCACCCACTACTTTATGTCTGTGTCTCACTGGTCTTTCACTTGTAGTTCCTTTCTGTTGAAAACATTGAAAATCACTGGGATGCAACTGAAAGAATGTTGATACATTTTAATAAAGAAACATTTTGCCTGGTTTAATCTGAAATTTACAAGTATAATTTCTAGTAGTTGAACCCGCACTTCCCAATTTTTTTTATTTTGACAATTTTCCAATTAAACAGAAGTGGAGTTTGTTTAATTTAACCTCATTGTACCAGTTGTTAGCGTTTTTTTCTTTATACATTCTTTGCATGTACACACATACTCTCTCTCAATTACTTTTTATTTATTTTGAGACAGAAACAGAGAGCTTTATTTTATTTCTGTCGTACAGATTAAAGAGAACCAGAGTGAACTACATGTCTGCTTTAGCCCTAGGGTTCAGGAGCAATTTGTTTCTGCTAAAGATTTCCAATGTGCAAACCATTCTAATCCCTTGACTTATGTCCTGGCCACAGTCATGGTCATCATGCCTCCTACTGAGACAGCTTTGCTCCCGCTGGTGGTTGTGCCACTGCTGACCCAGAGTCCTAGAAGACAGGTCCAGGTCTGGGAGGCCATTCTTAGGTCCAGCGGCACCTGTCTCTGACCTACAGAAAACAGCTATTACAGTGCTTTCTGAGAGATGCTGGCACTTCCATCTCCAGTAGATTCCTTAACACCTTAAAGAGGGAACGTCTTCTAGAGTCTCGTAGGGGACAGAGGTATAGAATTGTTTAGTGCATCGCGTATAATACATTCAAAAAAGCATTCCTTGGACTTTTGTTTCTACTCTATGCCAAAGCGGTTCGCATTTTAATTTTGTTAAGTGAGGCCACCATTAAGTCCAGGTTGTAGTCAACCAAGCAAGCAGTTAACACTATTCCCCCTGTGCGAGGAAGGGCCTCCAAGTAGAATCTCTCCGCAGACCAACTTTCTGTTTCTCCCTTGTGACTTTAACCCCCCTCACTGATTCCTAAGATGTTTATTAACATAAAGAACAAAATCTTACAATGATTTTGGTACACAAGTCTCCTCCTTCTTCCAGGTTTGGCTTTATAACACGGATGGCGTGTTATAGCTCTGGTTTGGTCTAATGAGAAGGGTGGAGGTTCAAGAAGACTTGCTTTCTTGCAAAGTTGCCTCCTTAGATGGCCTTATAGATCTTCAAGTGAGGCAGAAACAGCCTCTTCATACAAAAGAGATGGGGCTTCTCCCATCTTTAGAGCAGGACAAAACCAAGCAGTCCTGTGCTATCCTTATAATTGTTACATGTGAGCCCATTGTTGCAGACATGATGTCAATCCATTCTTGGGGGTCTTTTCTCTTTTTCACTGACCCCTCTACCAAGTATGATGTCCGGCTCCAGGTACTGGTCTCTCCTGATTACATGCCCAAAGCGTATGAGATAAAACCCCATCATCCTCAGTTCTAAGGCTCTTCAGGCAGTCCATGGCATATTTCACATTCCTATCCAAACTCATAATTCAAAGGCATCAACTCTTCCCCAGTCTTCCTTCTTCATTGTCCATCTTCTGCATGCCAGTCAATCTCTGGGAGAAAGATGTGGCAGTCTGCTTTGGTAAAGGTTCACAACCTTGGAAATCCTCTGAGGCAGTTCTTCTCCATGCGTAGAAATAGACATGATTGAGCTTCTCAGTCATGACGTCAGGAGCCAGGTCTGAGCAGAGAAAGACCCCAATTACTTTTTATTAAAGAGTTTGAAACCAAGGCATCATGGCACTTTTACCCGGAACACTTTAGCATGCATATACCAAGAACAAGAGCATTTCTCCTACATGACCACCATACTAACATCATGTCCAATAAATATGTTTCTATAATGATATTGAGTTTTTTGGTTACTTCTATGTAACAAACCTTCTCAATACTTTGTAGCTTAAAACAGCAACACTGTATCTTGCCTCGATTCTTTGTCACTACAATTGGCAGGGTCTTGGTTGGTTTCCCCTGGGCTCCCCAACACTGCGCAAGTGAGAAAGCCAGGAGTAGGCTCATCCAGGATTCAAAAGATTCTAAATTTTCTTAAATCTTGACTTAAAGTTTGATTCCTGTAGTAATCTGATTGTTCTGAAGCCCTGTGAGAGTATTTGATCATGATCTGTGTTAACTGTCCAACTTCATGTCCACTAGGAATGTCATGATGCATGAAGGCAGCTGGGGAGTCTCTCATACACGTGTGCCCACGGAGTCCAGGCCAGGGCACGTAGCCCTGATTGCTGGGTTTTACGAAGATGTCAGTGCGGTTGCCAAAGGTATTGTTTACCCAGACAGACTTGTTGAATAGAAAAGTTAATGCTGAATTTTGTCACTAAATTAAAAGTGTGCTCTGAAATACTTTTGGTAAGAATTTTAACATGCTTATTCATATGAATTCACTAGTACTAATTTCAGAATTACACTTTAGTGCTTTATCATCTTTAGTGCTTTATCATAAGCTTTATCATCTTATGCTATTGAAAATTATGATTGGCTTAATGCAACCACCCATCATTTCTTTAGCTATCATTCTAAAGGTTTCAAAGTGATTCTGATTTCAGTGAGAAATAAATGATCTCTTAATGGTATGTTTTGTGTTGTGTGTGTGTTATGATACTTATTAAATTTGTTACTAGTCTTAGATTTGTTCTGAGATTGATTTTGTTAATATTATCTGAAGAATATTTCTCTGGGGGCTTAATTCACCATGTACATATATTGCTGATATGTGCTTACCCCCCTCAATTACCTGAAGGATGGAAGGAAAATCCTGTGGAATTTGATTCTCTTTTCAACGAAAGCAAGTACACGTGGAGCTGGGGAAGCCCAGATATCTTGCCTATGTTTGCCAAAGGTAAGAGCACTCATTGTGTTTTCTCAGGTAGAAATAGGCAATAGTTAGCTGGTTCATTTTTTATACATTAGCTATTTTATTGCTTTTGAGACCCTTATCTTCACCTTCTAACATCTCAGAAATAGTAATGTTTAATATAGGGTGGATAGATATGTCACTCTAGTTTAATTGTCAGTGTTTTTTTTCCCCCTTCTTAGCTGTTATTGAAAAATGGAACATCATACAGTTGGCAGTGTCATGGATTCAATGAAACACTGCCTCATTAGCTGTATAATCTCAAAAACCTATCTGAGCTCTGGCTTTCCTTTTGGTAAAATGTGATGACAATAATGATAATGATTTCTATCCCAAAGAGCTTTGTTGTGGATTAAATTAGATAGTGCATATCCAGCATTTACATGGTAACTTTAAGAAGTTAGCAGATGTCGTGGCTTGAATTGTGTGCCTTCAAAATAGAAGCCAACTTGGCTGGGTCGGGGCTCAGAGTAGTTTGGCAGTTTTGTAATGATGTCCTCTGGCAGTGATTTAATGTTGTAGCCATCTTCCATGATGTGATTACAAGTGATCAGCTAACCAGTTGAAAGGAGATTAGGGGGGACCTTACTCAGGTCATACCCCTGATTAGATGTAAGAAGAATTTCCCTGGGACATGGCCTGCATCACCTTTTATCTTAAAAGAGATAAAAAAAAGGTGACAGGGACCTTACTACCACCAAGAAAGAAAAACCAGGACTGGAATATGTCTTTTAGACCTAGGTCCCTGTGCTGAGAATCTCCTAGTTCCAGGGGAAGATTTATGCTAAGACATATGGAGAATTTGAAGGGATGTTCAGTGCACAGATGCTGAAAGGTGACAGATACCTTCTCCCAGACTCAGTGAAGAGAGAAAGCCTTCCTTCAGAACTGGTGCCCTGAATTCAGACTTCTAGCCTCCTGAAACTCAAAAAACGAAACTTACTCCTATTAAGAGGACAGACACTATAGGACAGAATAAAACTGCCCCTGTGGGTTTCTGAGACTATAACTCTTCACAAGAGTGAAAGGCTCATATTTCTTCTATGGTTCCAAACTGGTGACCTTGTGGTTGCAGCCCAACGCATAACTCATTATGTTAGACAGGGTTCTCTAGAGAAACAAAATCAGGACAGTTGTGCTTTACATATATTTATATAGATAGATATATAACATAAGAAATGAGCAGCTATTTAATCTATAGAGTAGTACGAATGGCTTCAACTCACTTCTGTGAGACAGTTAATACACTGGCAGTCCTTCAAGTCTTGAGGATCACTGGCAGTCTTTCAAGTCTTGAGGGACACCGGATGCAAGTCAAGGAAGCAGACAGCTGAGTCCTCTGTAGAGCAATTCAGGCTATTCAGCCACAGGCAGCAAACAGCAAGGCAGGTCACCAGCAGGCAGCCAGATGACAGAGTCCAACAGGCCCCAGCTCAAGAGATGTAAATTCCAATGGTGTGTCGAAGCAGGTCTTGAAGGAACCTCAAATTACAGCGACACAGTCCACAGAGTAGGTGTCCTTTGCAAATTGAGGCAGAGAACAAGATAAGGCAGCTGCACACTGGCCTTATCATCAACGAACAAGAGACAAGAAAGGCGAGACTCGCCAAGCCATTTGTCTCTTCACCCTTCAATTAATCTGCATGTGTTCATTGGCCAGCTTGGCACAATGAACCTGCCTATCACACTCATGGTCCCACCACTCCTCTGTAGCCTCCTAAACTGTTGGAAAGCAAATGTCTTTTTTTTTTAAGCCATCTATTTGTGCTGTGTTTGTTCTAGCAGCCAGCACTAGTTAACTAAAAGAGAATTTAGTACTGGGAGCGGGGCGCCGCTCTAGCAGATACCTGAAATGTAGAACAGGGTAATTGATGGAGGTCGGAACTGTTTCGAGGTACCTAATAGTAAAAGCCTAGATTGCCTCGAAAAGACTGTGGATGGAATTGGCACTGTCAGAGCTAATTCCAGTGAGAGCTCAGAAGGAGTTGAAGAAAGTTGTAACACCAGAGATAGTGTAGCTGATGAGAAGGAGCAGCAGAGAAGCAGTAGCAGCAGAACCAAGAGGCTGGTGGAAATGGTTCAAGAACCATCCCCTGGATGGAAAGCGCTGTATACCTTTGGACTGGAGGCTTCCTGGTGGAGTACGGTGTCCCTGGGCACTTGTTGCGGGAGCAAGGCTTACCTACCCATGGAGTGAGAGAACTGAGGACCTCAGGGCTGAGTCTTACTGGAATCCGGTGCCTGCCGACTCTTGAGTAGAGCTAAGAGCTTTGTAGCGTTGACTAAGCAGTGCAGAGACAGGCTCACTCAAGAGGCCTGGGGTGCTAAGAGTCCAAGGGACAAAGGAAGCAGATGCTGCAGAGATGAAGAGAAGAGGAAGCATAGTTGCCTAAGTCTCAAAGGGTAGCTCCTTGAGCCCTGGGATGGCAAAGGGCCACTTCAGTTTCAAAGTCAGATCTTCACCAACTTGGCTGTAGTGTGTGGGCCTTCTGGTTCTGAGCTGTGGTGTGATGTTCACAGATGCCAGAGGGATAGACTGGAGCCTGAGGGTGTGGGGCTGCCAAGCCCAAGGGACGGAAAAATAGGGACAGATGGGGTTCTCACTCACACATACTAGGAGGATGGAACATCCCCAAAGCTGAGTGGCCATCCTAGTGAGACTGGAAGGTGGAGACGATGTGCAGAGCTAAGGGTCTCTGTTTGGAATCTAGAGTGCATGGTCAATACCAGGGGTCTGGAGGGCAGACCTGTTGCCTAGAATCTATTTGCCAAACGTATTTGACCTTCTGCCCCCTTTTGAAAAAATTACTCAGCACCTCCTTGGTATTGATCACCTCTGTACTGCAGTCCATATTCTAGCATAAAGTATAGGACCTGCATTCACAGGCCCACCCCCCTAGGATCGTTCCAGTGCCCCTGAGGCAGTGGTCTCACCTACTTTGGAAAATGCTGGCCTAGATGGGTTCAGAGAAGAGGATGGGGCTGATTCTTCAGCTTTGAGAGCGAATGTGAATACTCTGCTGCCGTTTTCACCGACATGGTGCCCGTGGTTCCCTCTTTCCTGGCAATTTCTCACTTGTGACAGAAATGTCCATCTTGTGCCTGTTCGACGATGGTACTTTGGAAGCAGATAAGTGATCATTTAGATTTCACAGGTTCACAGACAAAGAGATAATTTTATGGTTCAGACATCTTGACTATTGTTTTAGAAGTTAGTTCTGACTCATAGTAACCCCACAGGACAGAGTAGACCTGCCCAAGAGAGCTTCTGAACTGTAATCCTTACCAAAGTGGACCGCTCCATTGTCCTCCTTCTGAGCAGCTGGTGGGTTTGAACTGCCAACTTTTTGGTTAACAGCTGAGCAGTTTAACCACTGTACTACCACGGCTCCTTATTCCCCTATATTAAGAAAAAAAATTTTTTTAAGGTAGGTATATTCAAAGGATAAGAGAAGTGATGTATTTGAGGTTTTTTTCATGGTTTTGGAAATTCCATGAATGGAATAGCTCCATCTACTTTAGACTAGAATCCCAAGAGGTACGCATTCTTTGAGTAGTTAATCCTCTGAGGGAGACTGGTGATAACCCTGTAAGACAGAGTAGAGCTGTCCACTGGAGTGTTAGGGCTTAATCCGTACAGTGTGCTCCTGTTGAATGACATCTCCTGACATCAGTGTCACTTCCCAGCAGTATGACGTGGCCTAGTTAAGGAACTGACCTGTAAGAAAGAACATGTTAGTAGGGGAGACAGAAGGCGACAGCACCCACTGACCTGCACAGCAGGGCCCTAGCGTGCAGTGAGCACTAAGGGCGTGTCTGGGTGTGCTTGTGGAACATTCTGGCTACTCACAAAAATCTCTGAAGAACTGTCATTTTATGAGTTAAAATTTTTTTTGTTGTGAAAACTCTTTTCTTAAACTAAATTGCAGGTGCAAGTGGAGACCATGTTTATACACATAGTTACGGTGCTGAAAGAGAGGATTTTGGTGCCCAGGATGCTACAAAACTGGATACCTGGGTTTTTGATAATGTGAAGGTGAGCGTCCTGGTGCTCCACAGCCCCCACACACATTATATTTGTATCTAAAGCATCAGAAACTGATTCATCAGTAACTATATATCAACTGTTTTCGCTTTTTTCTTCTCTTCTCCTGTCAACTTGAACATTCTATATTGCCACAGGCTATTTAAAAATATTGAGTCTATCTAAAACAGTATGCATTCTGTAATGGCCGTTTATAGAACTTACAGAAAAAGCACTTAACAGATACCTTCTCAAAGACCTGTTCCTAACACTAGAAGGAACTGCCTTGGTTCTTTTGTTCACTCTCTGTGGGGAGACCTTCTGGAGTTGTCACGGACTCAGAGAACCTGCCCCGTGCAGTCGTGCAGCCACTTGAGATGTATGAAAGCCTTTTGACAAGTAGTGCTCAAAGGAAATGCATCTAAGTACAAAGCAGATGGTGTTTTTAAAACAATTTTTACTTTAAGGAAACGACTAGATAAGCAAATAAAAATTACTTAAACTTACAGGTAGAAATGATTGAGATGATGTATAGTTAGCAAGATAGTCATTTGAGAACATATGTGGATTTAGTTAAGCAGTAGAGACGAATTATTTGATAGTGACAGTTATGACAGTTTCATTGGGAAAACAATAGAATTTATATTCTAGAAAAATTGGTGTGATTATCTTAGTAATGACTTTCACTAATCCATTGTTCTTCATCTACCAATTAGAACACCGAATTCATTCTGTGTCTGAGGAGACTTCAAAATGCTTGTGGAAAAATGGAATTGAATGATAAAGATTATAAACATTATTTCTCAACACTTGTGCCATTAAGCCATTTAGTTCATTCATAAAGAACTGCAGGTCCTGGAATTAAACCACGCCATTACAATCTTTTCTGACATTATTGTATTAGTCTGGGCACTTTAGAGAAACAAATCCACAGAAACTCATGTATGAGAGAGTTTTATATAGAGGTTAAGTGTGCATCAAGAAAACATCCCAACCCAGTGCTGCCCAAGCCCACAAGTCCAACATTAACCCGTTAACCCATATGTCCGACACCAATCCACAAAGTCCGCCTCCATCTCACAAAACAGACACAACCATGCCACCTGTAGGAGGAAAGCCGAGTCAGTGAACGTGTAAGCATCTCAGCGCTGGCAGGGGTCTCCACACGGGTGCTCCAGCACCCAGGGCTGCATTGGGGTTGGTCCATGTGACTTCTTGGGGATGTCTTGCAGGAAGTCAGCCTGGCAAGCTGAAGCAGGGAACTGCTAAGGCAGCTGCACCTTGGTCCGATCATCACAAAGCAAGAGACCCGAGAACTCGAAAGGCAAGGCTCACTGAGCCATTTATCCCTCCACCCTTCAATTAACCCCACATGTTTTATTGGCCAGGTTGGCACAGTAAACTAACTCAGTCATTAACTGGAGAAAAATGGGTGCCCTTTAAAGTTTGTTTAATATTTGGAAGCAAAATAAAGTCAGAAGGAGCCAAATTGGGATGGTTTGGTGAAAACCCAATGACTTCCCATGGGGACTCTTGTAAAATTGCCCAGCTTCATGAGGGGGCTGAGTAGGGGCATTGGCATGATGAAGGGCTGACCTATCATTCCCAGGCATTTTTCTATGAAAACTTTCTCAAAACACTCTCATAACAAGCAGATGTTATCATGCTTTTCCCTCCAGAAAGTCTGCATGAAAATACCGGGAGCATCCCCAGAACCTCTGCCATGACTTTTGCTCTGATCAGTCCACTTTCACTTTGATGGGACCACATCAAAGCCAAGCCATTGCTTTGAAGGTTTTTTTTTCTTCTTCTTCAGGAAAGTATTGTTACAGTCATCTTTCGTCTCCTGTTAGCAATTCTAAGAAATGTTTAAGTAGCATGAGCTCACTTGTTTAAAATTTCCATTGAAAGCTTGATTCTTGTCGACATCTAATCTGGGTGCAACAATTTTGGCAGAAAGTTTGCTCAACTTAAATTTTGTTTCTTTTAGTCCATTTTAAAAGCCAAACCAATTGTAATGTCTCTGGTGTTGGCTGTTGCTTTTGATGTTAACCGTTGGTCTTCTTCAGATGCATTATTTTGTTTGAGGGAAAAACTCAAATACAATTGATAGAGACCTGTTTACTATTAAGTCTTAAACAGTACAAAAATAAGATAAGGGAGGGCGAGGGAGACCATCAGCACCAGGTCGTAGCGGTGCCTGAGGATTCATGGCCCTGCGGCTACTGACGGAGGGCATGGGATGCAAAGGGAGCTCACAGAATCATGACTGGCCGTTGATGCACTGATCACAGTTACGGGCAGGACTACAGATGAGAGGAAGGGACCCCGGTTGGGGCACAAACACTATTGAGCAGAAAAGGGGCAAGGTTCATCCTGGGCCCTCAAACAACCTTGGTCAGTGTGTAGCTTATGACCACATGGCACTCACAAACTCACTGCCATCGAGTCAGTTCTGACAGGGTCAACCTGCCCCTGTGAGTTTCCAGGACTAACTTGTTATGGAGGAAAAGTCCCATTTTGAATCGCTGAACTTGAGGTTAGCAGCCCAACACGTAACCACGGCTCCCCCTGACTCCATGTGGCCATAGAATCCCAGTTTCCGTCAACAGCACACTTAGGCCCCCAAAAGGGGGACTGCCCCTCCCAGGGCAGCCTAGGGCAGTGGTAGCAAAGACTGCCTGAGAGCCTTTGGCATTGCTCATCAGTGTTCCAGAAGAACTCTCTGGACACTGAATCTACGTGGAGACTCAGCGGGTTTAGGGCTCCCACAGTAAATCCTAAAATCCTGCCCTTCCACAGATCTACACACCTACTGCCACCAAGTCGATTCTGGCTCATGGTGACAGTACATGACACACTAGAACTGCCCCTTTGGGTCTCTGAGACGCTATGTTTATGGGAGCAGGCAGTGACATGGCACGACAGACTAGAACTGCCCCTTTGGGTCTCTGAGACTATATCTTTATGGGAGCAGACATTGTTCTCTTGTGAAGCAACTGCCGACCTTGAGATTAGCAGCTCAAAGCAAAACCAGCCACTCAGCACTTTAAGTTTACTGGCAAATTGATGTGGACGGGTTGCTGCTCTGGGCTTCAGTTCCAGCCCCGTGGCTATCCGTTTGTAAACTGCTGATCGCTTTGGGGCCTTGTCCCTGTGAACTCCCTGAGCATCAGTGATCTCCCATTCTTCCCCCCAAGCTTCACCTTCAGTTTGATGCCTGTTGCTTCCAAATGAGCAGAATGCATGGTGCTCTGAGAGGAGCTCCTTTCAAACAGATGCCTGGTCTTTCCTGGTGTCGCAAACCAGGTCCTGTTCCGATACATTATAACAAGCTAGTACATTTGTGTGTGTGTGTGTGTGTGTGTGTGTGTGTGTGTGTGTGTGTAAACAATTGGAAATCCAAACATTGCTATTTCACCCCCTTTCATAGTACACATTTTCCACGAACTTTTTGAAGACTCCTGGTAAGAAACTTGCCTTGATTTACCCTTAGTGCCTTTTTACCAGTAGTGCACCTTGAACTCATATTGTGACTTATCGTGACTACTATATTACATAGTCCTTTTGTGTTAGTTGTTAAGTGTACCCCTCGGTATGTCTGTAGCTTTCTTTGGCTTCACTTTGGATGAAAGTCCTCAGTACATTTTTGATAAATTCTATTTTGACTATCGGGTATTTCCCTTCAAAATTTTCTTTCATCTCATAATTTCATCAACAGGGAAAACATAAGCAAAATTTTTTTGTTAATCATTGCTTCTTTTTAGAAATTTAAATGTGAATAGGAATTAACAGGATAGGTTGTTAAAAATGTAAACAGCTTATCATTTGACCTATTTTAAACATTCTTATAATACTAGGGAGTACATATCTGACTGGTAGAGTGAGTGTTGGGACAATTTTTAATCATAATTTAGTATACTAAGTCACATCTGGTTATAGACTTTGGGTTTCTAATTTGACATAATAGCTCCCAGTCTCATGAATTCCCGAATCCTGGGTTTGATTCTTTCTGGTTGAGCTGCGGGATGATACACTTTGTGGCTAGCTGGATATTCATGTTTAAATTTATTATTATTATTTCAGTGTTTTAACATTGCTACTATAGCAGAAGGAGCCTGCTGGCACAGTGGGAGAAAGATGAGGCTGTCTTCCAGAAACCCACAGGGGTGGTGCCACTCTGTTCTGTAAGGTTGTTAGGAGTTGGAATTAAGTTGATGGCAGTGAGATTTTTGTTTTGAGCACTGAGGTTGGATAGTGAACAGAAATGCATCTATGATTGGTAGAACATTTTTAAGCTGTCCCCTCTTATTATTTTATTTTTGGATTTTACTAACATATTCTTTCCACTGCATCTTAATGGGTTACATCTGGAGGGAACAGTGGTATGTGCTTAAGACCCTCTTTGTGCAAAGCTCACGTCCCGGAGCACAGGGGTCTGAATTGAAAAAGAGGGTTGGGTGTTCCGTAGGTCCTGAGAATAAACTTAAGCATGTGAGGTCATTTAACTTTATAGGTATGCATGACCTTAATAAAACATTTTCATCGATGTTAATATCTAACAAAACGAATGAACTAATGGTTTTAACTGTTTGTTCCATCTAGGACTTCTTTCGTGCCGCCCCAACCAACCAGTCTTTGTTTTCTAAACTCAATGAAGAGAAAATAGTGTTTTTCTTACATTTATTAGGAATAGATACAAATGGACATGCTCATCGACCATCCTCGAGGTAATTTTCATGTTGCCTTTAATTTTTTATTTTCTTAGAGAAACAGCTTTTCTTTTCGAATTTTTAAAGACATTTATGATGTTTTTTGGTAATTGCAAAAACAACTGCTATTTTATAACTAGTGTGATGTAGAGTAAGTTCTTAATTATATGAGCTAGAGCAGGAAATAGTTGTTAAAGTCACACAAACTGGAGCCAAGCTGCACATTAATATGTAGTATTTGTTCTGTACATATATTCAGTATGCTTCACTTATCAAGGTAGAAAGTAAACCTTGAAGTAATAAGCATCTCTTGATGCTACCTTTATGTCATTTACAGTAATGTAGCCACTTCTTACTTGCATGTTCTGGATAATTATTTTTAATCTAGCACATAAGTTTTTGTATATTACATTACAGTAGCACTCTGTCTCCAACAGCAAAAGTTTTTTCCTTACTTTTCAAACCATAAGTGAAAGGAAGAATCCATGTTATGCATTTGATCTTGGTCCTGGATTTGGTGTCGGGCAGCCCCACCGTAACGCTCCTTGGCGTAGCTGCCAGTGCTAGTCGTGAGTGCCCCCTGCTGTGCTTCTTGTATACTCTGCACTGTTTCTGTGGATGGAATTCATCCTCAGTCAACCTTACTTAACTGTGTGGAAGATTGAAATATAATCTGCTAAAAACTATGACTGCATCTTATAGCCCTAACAATATAGGTAATATAAATAGTATGTACTCGACACAATAATATTTACTCATTAATATGTCAAAGTCATTGGAGTTTGTGTTGTGAACGATGTGTACTTGAAAGTCATTATATTATTGTATTTGGGACTTTAAATATTCATTAAAATATATTCGCTGATCTGTACCTTCTTTTAGCTAAGCTTTCAAAGATTTTAATTTTTTTTACTTCCTTAAAAGGAAAAAAAACCCAAAATACAAAAATTTGTCCATAATATAAAGAGCTCTGATTTTTAAATATTAAAGGTGTAACAAAGAAGCATTTGAATGTAATGAGTTCATGTTGAATACATTTGATGTCTACAAACTAATGTAATTTAATTTGTTCCTCTATTTCTCTGTAAACAGGGAATATAAAGACAATATTAAAACAGTTGATGTTGGAGTAAAAGAAATGGTGTCTGTGTTTCAACAGTTTTATGGAAATGATGGGAAAACCACATTTATCTTTACCTCTGACCACGGAATGACAGACTGGGGTTAGTTCATCTCTGTGTAATATAATGGAAGTAAATGTAGCTTTCTTACTATATTGAGAGAATTATATGTCTCAGTATATAATTGTTGACTTAAAATGATAGCTTACAAGGAGACTGATCTCATTTTAAAAATCTCTTTCTAACTATGAAAGGAATATATGCCCTCATAACATCAGAAAGAAACATATGGAGAAGAAATTTAAAAGTGCATGTAATCGATCTACCTGGGATCAGCTGTCAATGAGGGTCCCAAAGGTGCTGTTAATATGGCATTACTGAGGGGCTCCTGAAATTCCACCCTCAGTGAGCTGGTTTGCTCTGTAAAAATCTCAAGGCAAACACATTCAGAGAACAATATAAGGTCAAGATGAGACTTGGGTGCCCAGGTCACAGTACAGGGTGGGAATGAACTAAGGACTACCTCATAATGGGCTTCTTTTGCCTCAAGTCCACCTGCCTGAGTGGCCCAGAAGGAAGGACCAGAGACTCCACCTTCATCTCCAGAACAGCCTGGCCTGGCCTGCTGGGCGAATCAAACACCTCTCGGCCTTCTCTCTACTGTGGGCCAAAGTCTGGCTGTAATGACATCCACTTGTGGCAGACTGCCATCCTGGTTCTAGCTGCTGCCAGCACACACACATGCACACCCAGCTTCTGGTCTCCTGTAGCCCATGCCTCAGAAGTCAGGCAGCCAGCTGGCCTCCTTTCCCTTGAGAGAAGGAAAGAGTGCAAGTTCAAACTCCCAGAAAATGCATGTGACTGAGTGTTCGGCTAGTTGGGGCTTCAGTTTTATTCTTTGTGTTTTGAGCCTTTAACCATGTTATCAACCATGAAAGCATGAATTTACTACCTGTATTACAATATATTTGTCCTCTATGCAAATATGTTTATATTGAATTCTCCTATTGTTTGTTATGATGTGTGTTCGTCAGGATCCAGTAGTTCATGCCTTAGTGACAGGCGACCAGTGGTTTCATACAATAAGCACTTAGGTCTGACTCTCCCACTCTATTCAGCATGGGTTGGCACAGGACGGCTCATTGGCGTCCCCCAGCCCTGAGGCTGGCAGGTTGCATTTCAGCACAGGCTCTGATGATGCCTGCATCAGGGGAGGACACGTGGCCCGATGGGCATGGGCTCTGAAGGGCTCTGCCCTCTTCCACTGGCCACACCAAGTATATGCCTGACTCCAGAAGGGTGGGGTTCCTAAAACCCATCCCTGTGCCTGAGTCGGGGGACAGGGAGAGTTGGTGAATATCACTAATGACAGCAACACTTAGTTGGTTTGTTGTTTTCACAATTTCAGGTGTTATTAAAATCAGTTCCCTTGCACATACTTCTGTAACCTTATGTGTTGCTGTGTTTAGGATACCCAAAAAACCTATTGCCATCAAATCCTTTCCAACTCATATCGACCCTGTATAGTGTCGCTGAGGCTGTAAATCTTTACAAGAGCTTTAAGCATCATCTTGCATGGAGCAACTGGTGGATTTGAATCACAGATCTTGTAGTTAACAGCTAACACTCACCTGTCCGCTCCACCAGACTCCTTACTTTTAGGATAGACTCCTAGGATTAGGATTATCTGCTAAGTGTATATTATAAGCATGGTCTCATCTATTTTTGACCAAAGTAGTTTACATTATCCGTTCCTTAGTGGAAGAAGCTCTGGTGGCTCAGCACAAGATCAGAGGTTCAAACCCACCAGCTACTCTGCAGGCGAAAGATGAAGCTACAGCTCTTGTAAAGACTTATAGCCGTGGAAACCCTGTACAGAATGTTTGTGAACCAGAAGGGGCTCGATGGTTGTGGATGTGGGGATCATCAGTGGTGGCCATCAGATCTTCTGGAGGGACTTCAAAAGCTCTTGTGAAAAATTTCCATTATTTTTTAATTCAATTTTTCCATGAACTTTTGAAGCCCCCTTGTTCTATTTTTGAGCAATGAATGCTATCTTGTTTAGTCCTTGTCATTTAGATAAATAAACCTTTTGGTTTAATTTATATTTCTAATTCACAGTGAAATTGAATACTTATGTCAAATATTTTTTCTCTTTCTTCCGTTTACCCACTTTTTTGATTAAAGATTCAGCAATTCTTTTTACTGATATTTAAGAATGTTTTTTATATTAAGGTTGACCATTGCTATAGGTTTTGTATTTTCTTTTTTAGTTTGGTCTATGATTTTTTTGAGACTTTTTTTTTCATATTCATAGCACACTCTTGATTATTACAGCTTTAAAGTATATACATTAAGTAGGACAAAATTATACTTAGTATTCATCTTTTTTAAAAAGTCAATATTCTTTTATACTTATCCAAAATAAATTCAGAGCCACTATCTTTTTATTTAATATTTTTCATGTGGAATTTTTAATTGAAATTTCCAAAGTTGTAGAAATTAATTGGAGAAAAACTGACATCCTTAAGTGTCTTTCAATCTAGAAATATGGACTAACCCTTAAATAGACTTCAATAAAGTGTTTGGTCTTCTGTGTAAAACAAAAATATTTTTTAAATCTCTTTTGGTTTAAAAGAACAGGAATGACTTTGACATGTTAGCAGAGAGAAAGGCCTTTATGATTCATGGTCTGTGTATTACTACCACTTTCTTATTCACTATATAGCCCATAAGTTTGGTTTGATAGTTACCATAGTTATAATTCCCATTTTTGTTGCTGTTCTTATTTTTCTTGTCATCCAGAGGGACTCGGCAGACATTGTGCTTTTTCATTTCTGCCTGTTTGAGACTCCTACTTACTTGATGGGATTATCATCAAACTAATTGCTCCACAAAGTCATTAGCTTTTGGAAGTGTGGTGTCTGGGGTTATCTAAACACAGGCCAACTGTTTCAACACCTAATAGGATCATAGGAAGACCTATTATCCATTCATTTTGAGGCCTGTCTGTTTCCCCTTGGGGTCTTCTCTGCAGGTTCCCACGGGGCTGGCCATCCTTCAGAGACTCTCACTCCTTTAGTTGCTTGGGGAGCTGGAATCAAGCACCCCCAGAAAGTATCGGCCCAGCAATATGATGATACACTTTTGAAAGGTACGTTCATATAATTTTTACCAAGGGTAGCATTTGAAACTAAAACCACTTTTCAAGATACTGTTTTAAACTTTTCAAGATACTGTTTTAAACCTCCCATTCTGCTGTTTGTATCAGTACTATTGCTGTGTACCATTGCCTTTGTTGGCAGGCACCTCGGGAATCACTTCTGATTCATAGTGACCTCAAACACAACAGAATGAAATACTGCCATTGCCATCTGTACGATGATTGTCACACTTGATCCTGTTGTTGTAGCCAGTGGGTCAGTCCATCTTAGTGAGGGTGGTCTTCTGCTAACCCACTCCATTTCCTTAGGCATTACCTACAGTATGCAGTTCTTATTCTACATTGTTAGATATCTGTCTATGAAAGCCTTAGTAGTATAAATTGCACTATTGCTTCTTTACAAGTCTATTTGTTTTTAGAATTTAGATAAACCCTTGAGTCAGATCTAACCTGCAGAGCATATCAACCTGATAGATCACATGTGTATCACTGTCCTTGTTTTATAACTGAACATCAAGCATTCCTTATTCTCGTATTACCAAAGTCTTTATGTGTTCCCTAAGTCTCCCTTGCGTCACAGCCTATAGAGTAAAAGGAGATTCTTCCCCCCACCCCCCGCCGCCCCATTTTTTCTGGAGCACTGTTTCTTTTTTAATTTAATCTTTTTTTAAAGAGATATAGTTTACATATCATAAAATTCTTTTTTAAAAAGCTGTACATTGGTTCCTAGTATATTCAGAAGATTGTACAACTCTTGCCACTATCCATATCTAGAACGTGTTCATCAGCCCAGTTCAACAGTCCCTCATGTTCGTCCTTGTCCCCAGTCACTCTGCAAAATGAAACCCACTGCTGTTGACTTGACCACTGGTTATACATCGGGCTGCTAACTGCGTCTGTAAAGATTTGTAGCTTGAGAGGTGGTTCTGCTCTGGCCTGTAGGGTTGTTATGAGTCAGAATTGACTGGATAGCAGCGAATGAGGCGCATTTCACACAAAGAAACAGAGAAGTGCAGTACATAGAAGTCCTATCTCTTGCTTGCGTTCTCTCTGAGTCACTTACTAAACATTTAGTGGCATTGTATTGAGGCCTCCTTCCAAATGTCGCGTAGACTCAAGTTTAGACTTTATTTCATTCAAGCAATTTACTAATTGATTTAAAGAGAAGATAAAACTCCTTAAGGTTTCTTAGAAGTAAATCATAAATTTCATCATGATTTTCCACACCAAGCTAAAACAAATGTATCAGTTACAAAGTTCACAGTATCCACATGATATATCCATTAGACAAAAAGTGAGCTACAGCACTGAGATATTTATGCCTTGGGCCCTCATGAAGGCAGAAGGGCGCAGTGAATAATTTGCTCAACAGCGTGCCTTCAATAAATAATGGCACATTTTTCACTGGACTGTTTTCTATAGTTTTATCAGTGCTGGCAGAGAGTGGAAGGCCCAATTGCAGGTCTGTAGGAGACATTTGACAAAGGGCCTGAATCAGGCCACCAGCACACTGTCATGATAGTTCCAGACTTATTTAAGCAGAAAACAAAAGGAATCCAGGGGACTCTCTGTTCATCTCCTGTCATTTGTGGGACGGTCCTGGCTTTCACAGAGCTTAGCATTCCAGCGAGAGACTGAAAACACTGCACAGAAAAGTCCTACATTTTGATAACTGCTATTAGAGACTCTGGGTGAAATGACAAACACCTGGCAGAGATAGGCACATGTCGTCATTGTTAGTGGCCATTGAAGAGCTTCAGGCTCCTAGTGACTGCATGTGACAGAGAACCGCCCCTCAGGGCTTTCAAGCCTGCTCTCTTTACAGAGCACGTCTCCAGGTCTTTCTCCCACAGAGCCATGGGGTGGCTTCCAACCACCAAACTTTCACTTAAGGTTTGCATCATCAGAGCTCCTGAGTAGAGCAGGTAAGGCGACTCCTCTTCAATGTGCAGGTGGGTGAATTGTCTGTGGCCTGAGGGAAATCCCCGGGTGGTGTGACAAGTGTCACAGTTGGGTACAACCCCAGAGGTATGATGCTGGAGTCCAACAGTGCACGATTTTAACACTCCTGGGTCATGACTGCAGGGGCATCAGAGCTACAGTCTTAAGAATTTGGCAAACAACCGCCATTATGAAAAATAAGCCCCTTGACTTGGCTGCAGAGACTACCGCTGCACTGCCTTGAGAACTGTGTGGAGCAGGAATGGCGGCGTGGTCACCATGCTGGCAGTTGCTATTGTTGCCTTTACGTCCATCTTCCTGGTCATTCACCTTTCAAGGCTCTGAAGCAAATGAGCATTATAAACACGAGTCTCCGCAGAAGATGCTACTTCCCGGCTGTTCTTTCAGAATTTAATTGAAACAAATGTACACCCCTACACGTTGGAATCCCCATTATATTCGATTTTGACTTCAGTTCTAGAGACAGTTCTACACTTAAATTTGCCATTACATCTTGACCACTCACTAAGAATCATGTGATCTCTGTTTTTTGAAATTCTCTTCCCCCGTCGCGTGTCCACTTGTGTCTTTCAGAGTGGAAGCTGGAGAACTGGAAGAGGCTCGACGTCAACCAGGTGCCATGCCCACACTCATCACCCTCCCATTTCCTCGTACCGCCCACTAAGAAGTTTACGCAAGAAAGGCGATACGACAGATGTGTTGGTGCTACAGGGGCCTTCAGGCGGTTTATGGGAAAATTCCATTAGCTTTTACTTTCCATTTTTCCATAAACTTTTGGAAGACCCCTTAAATTAGTAAAGGCTTTTTGTCAAACATTTCAGGGAATCCTTTTCATATAGTAGCTTACTCAAATAATCTTTCTTAATGTAAAAAAGCCTCAAGTAAAGCTCAGAGGAGAAGCATCCTCTAACCAGCGGTAGGTCAGGAAAGGACTGTCATGGGAGCTGAAGGCTGCGCACCCATTCATTCTCGTGACTTCTGGCCATGGTCACCTCGCTTAGTTACTTGAATCAAGCCTATATGATTCTAGCTACTGTTTCCTTCTTTCTTTCTTTTTAAAATTAACACACATTTCCCCCCTTTAGTTCCATTTCTCAGCCCTTAAACTTGCAATGGAAAAATGATACTGGGAAAATGCTTAGCCTAGAAACGGTAGATTAGTAGTGGTCTCTGGAAACATGCACCGTGGGCTATGTACATGGCCGTCCTCACTATTTGCAGAACGTGCCACCTGGGACGTGGCCCCAAAGCGGCCAGGGTCACCTGCCTTTCCCCGGGCACCTCACTAGTTGGCATTCCTCCATGTGGTGGGCGAACCAAAGGCTGGCCTCTCACCTTCAGGCCTCCCGGTACAGAAACCAGATTTTTCTTAGAATATGAAGAACAAATTCTCCTCTTAGGATGGATGCCCATAAGCCAATCCAATATATTAATTTATAGTAAGAGATCACTGTCCAAGGACAGGAAGAACGGAAGTCCACATGACAGGAAGTCTTATCTCAGGCCAGCTCATCGCAAGAAATTGTTCAGTGGGCATGGATTCAGCTATTGCTAGCTGAAGACTGTTGGCTAATGCTTCTTCACCAGGAGATGAAAATTTCTTATTCTTTCCCTTGACCACCTTGTCATTTACTTGCAGTGTGTACATCTCTGTGTGCAGTGTAAGGGTATAATGTGAGTAAAAACAGACAGTCCCTATCTGGGGGGACTTACAGCTTAGGGATAGTCTGTCGCTGTTCAGATCATCATACGGAGCAGGTGAAACTCAATCTGTGACAAGCCTGCCAGAGTCCCGTGAAGCTGATCTGGTCAAATGCACTGGCGGGAAAGGCTGCCTGAGGAACTGAGGACCAAGCTGAGCTTGAAGAAGGAGCTGACCAGGCCAAGGCAGCAGAAGAAGGCTTTCTGGGTAGAGGGAACAGTGTGGGCACAGCGCTGGGCTAGGAGGACACAGATACATGAAAGAATCGTCAAGGAAGCTGGAGCCCAGGACAGCAGGGGCTGTGGTGGGGCGTGAAGCAGCAGGCAGCCTCAGACTGCAGGGAGTTACGGGGCGCATGGAAGCCCAGGGCATATCTGCAGTCTGGAGAGGGGCACGCTCTAATCTTTGGAGGAAGGCCGCCTCTGGTTGCAGCGCGGAGAACAGTTGAGAGGAGACTGGCAGTGTACTGGGGCAAGGGGAGGAGGTTGGGGAGTTTTCCAGGTTTCTGGTGGGTGGTCCTTAGTTAAAGACAGGTCAGATGGTAAAAGGTGAGAAAGATTGAGAGCCTAGGATCAAACTTGACAAATCCCAACTGATCAGAGAGACTTCCCTGAGGTGGGGAGGAGAGAGCGCCTCAAAGGGGAGTGGTCTGCAGAGTGCTGCTGGGGGTGGGGGTGAGCTCTTGGCAAGCACTAGCAGCAGTAGCCACCTTATAGTGACTGATGTGTATTATGTGCAAGTATTTTACCCAGTGTATCCCAGTTAGCCCTGCCATAGCTCTTATGGGGGCCCATTTTAACCTTTAGTTTTTAGTTTTTTTAACTGATTAGGCAAGAGATTCTGGAGACACTACATTATTTGCCCAGTCTCAGAGATTGAAGTCAGAGACTTGATTTCCAAGCCCTTTGCTACCAGGAAAATTGAAAGCGCGAGACCACAGCAGTGGATGAACCGTAGGAAAATGGAGATGATTCACTTTCTTAGGGAGAGCAGTCTGTGGAATGATAAGGACTCAAAGCAGGCCAGCCGTGGGCTGAGGAGCAGTGAGGACCCCAGGCAATGGAACCAGAGCCTGGACAAGGGGTGCTGGTCAAGGGGGCCTTGGGGTCTGAGGAATAAAGAGGAACCCCTCTTCGCCGGGTTCTATGTTTTCTGATCGCTGCCGGCTGATGGGGTCCTCTGGTTGCAGGGACTTTATTTCATTACTTAACATAAAGAGGGGCTTCAAAACTTTGGGGCAAACTGGAATGGAAAGATAATGGAACTTGCCCATGAACTTTTTGGCACGCCAGTGTGTGTTCTCTCCAGTTAAAGTGTACTTTTGCTTGTTTGTTTTCTGTCAAAATGGGACATCCTACAGTACAATACTGAACAACTAGCCATCTGTTACCTAAGATGGTCAAGTTCTTAGGTAGTAACTTTTCCCCTCAAAAGTATGTTTTAGATTTGGGACCCTTAATGGTTTCTCTCCAAATTCTCTTTCCTACATATATGTGCCTCTGGCAAATGACATTTGTAGAGGTCAGCCTCTAGTAGTGGATGTTTCAAAGGTAATGGGTGATAACAAATGTCGTTATGTCCCAAATATAGTTGGTGTCCATGGTTTTCGTTGGCTTGTCTGCAGCTGTCGGCCTAGGATTGAACGTCTTCTCTTTGTAGGCTGACATCGCCCCACTGATGGCTTCTCTGATTGGAGTTCCCTTCCCCCTTAATTCAGTGGTAAGGAAAACCAGTTTATTATCAACTCCAGTTAAAAGTATATACCATATATACGTGTGTATAAGCCGAGTTTTTCAGCACATTTTTAATGCAGTTTTTCTGGTAAAATTAGGCGCCTCAGCTTATGCTTGAGTATATACGGTAGACCACCCAGTAAAATTCACACTTTTAAAATGTGTTTTGGTATAAACTTTGGTTGTACTTAAAACTGTATTTCCGTACATTTTTTCTACATATATAAGGATTCTTAATTGTGTATTACTGACTATTTGCAGGGGACCCTTCCTGTGGCTTATCTTAACAACACGGACCTCTTCAAGGCAGAGAGCTTGTTCACCAACGCCGTCCAGATCCTCGAGCAGTTCAAGGTATGACAAGGCCTCACCCCCAAGACAGACAGCATCTTAGTTTTAGAATCCTATCTATTAAGTCAAAGTATTTTGTTTGTGTTCTAATAAATGTATTCCTGATAACAAATTACTTTAAATATGCATGAGGGAGCTTCCAAAAGTTTGTTGAACATTTCCACTCTCCATCAATTGTATTTTTCCACGAGCTATTTGAAGCCTCGTGTGAGTGTACCATTTCTGAGATACAGATTTCCTGAGTTAATTTCTGGGCGTAGAATTGCCTTAGAGGAATGTCCCTTGTGAGGAGATTGCTACATGGGTTTATAAAGACCAGCAGCCATGTCTGTATTGGATTCACCCAGAGAAGTTGAATAAGGAATGGCAACTCATTACCTTATACACTGCTCATTACCTTATACACTGGAGTGTTCCAGAACCAAGTCAGTGCCCTTAACTCAATTCCAGCTCAGAGACACCCTCTAGGGCAGTGTACCATTGCTAGCCACCAAGTCAGTGGTTCAAACTCTGCAGCCACTTGGAGGGAGAAAGATGTGGCAGTCTGCATCTGTAAAGAGTGACAGCCTTGGGAACCCTGTGGGGCAGTTCCACTCTGCCCTGCAGGGTTGCTTTGAGGTGGCATTGACTTGGCAACAGCGAGTGGGGAAATCTTCAGGAAAGCAGACTGCCTCGTTTTAACCCCAAACTCGGCTAGCAGTCCATTGCTGAACACACTGCTTCACCAGGACTCCTGTGGAAGTTGAAGAATTGGACCTTTAACTCGAGTGCTTTTTTTTTTTCCTTACCAGAGATTTCATTCATTTATTTATGTTTTCACAATTTTTAAAATTGTGAATTAGGTGGAGGAGATTTACATTTCACATCCTCAGTTTTGTATTCAAGAGTTTCAAGCCACTTGCCAAACCTCACAGTAGCTTACCATTATCCTATGATTTCTTGTTGCCTGTTTGGGGAATGCAGTCCTCCCCTTCATACAAGATAGCACTGGCCACCCCTCCCAGCTATGATCTCAGCTTCTTTCTCTTGCCCTTCCCTATGTGATATGGAAGCCCTTGCCTTGTGCTTCTTCTTTATAACAGCGGTATCACACAGCATTTGTCCTTTTGCAATGGACTGACTTCGCTCAGCCTAATGTTCCCCAGATTGATCCATGCCATGAGGTATAGCTGAAACTCTTAAAACTGTTCATTCAGAATGATTTCTTTTGTTTTTGAGTTAACAAGAATTACAGTTTTCATTTTATTATGCACGTTACAGACTCGACATGCTTGATTCTCTGCTAATGTCAAAGTAAGATAATGCTAAATAGTCTTTAATATTAATGAAATAATATAGTAACATAAGCGTCCCTTTAATTTGAAAGTACTTAGTCATCCCTAAAGAGTAATTATAATGGGCATTGATATTTCAGAGTAATTGTTTCTCATTTATGGTTTATTAAAACCTTTTCATACTTGGTTTCCAGGTGAAAATGACCCAGAAAAAAGAAGTGACGCTATCATTCTTATTTACTCCATTTAAGTAAGTCCCTTACATTTTTTTTATTCACTTGAGGGAAATTATTTATCATTGATCTCTGGGTATATTACTGATAGACTGAATTCATCTACTTGCTACATTACATTTTGTATATTTTAGTGCCAACTCCAAATTGAAAACTTGTTTTTTGTTGTTTTGTTAAATAATGAGCCAGATGCATGGTACCTTTGACTAGCTGATGGAGGGAATGTGGAATGCTAAGGAGATGAATTTGACAGATCTTGACTGGTTGGCTGGGAGATTTGGGGCAATAAAGAAGTGGGAAGTTAACTATTTCTTGGCTCTTGGATTGGCCGGTTGGGAAGATATTGTGGACGGTAGAGAGAAGAGCTAATCTGAGAGGCAAAAATGAATGCTACTGAGCCCGACTTACATTTGAAGGCATCAACTAGTATATGAGAAAGAGCTTTGCTCCGAGGAGGCTTGGTCATGCGATTTAAGAGAGCGGACTTACATCTGTAAAATATAGAAATCAAAAAGTAATTTTTCACATAATTTAAGATCGTGATTCTAATACTTACATGGAAGAATAGCTCAAATGTAGTTTCCCTATCATTAAGAAAGAGCAAGATAAGAACAAGATGACAGATTTATTCTCTATTATATAGCCACAGACAACCTAAAACTAGTATGATTATCTATAATAGGAAACCAAATGGTGTACTGCATTAGGAAACTTTGCCACAAACGAGTTCTTTCCAGTGTTAAGCAGCAAAGATGTCACTTTGATGACTGAAGTGTGCTTGCCCCAAGCTGTGGTCTTCTCCTTTGCCTTACTAGCATGTGAAATGGACAGTGGAAAAGAAGACGGAAGCATCGATGCATTTGAATAGTGATGTTGGTGAAGAAGGCTCAATGGGCCATTCCTAGGCCGGGGAAGGCACACGTCCTTCGTGAAGGAAGGAAGCCAGAAGGCTCCCCAGTAGTGAGGCTGGCCAGTCTTGTCTCATTTACTTTGGACACATCGTCAGGAGAGACCAATTGTTAGAAAAGGAGATCCTGCTTGATAAACGAAGTCAGTAAACATGAGAGGAACCCTCCACAGGTGGATTGACAGGTGGCTCCAACAGTGGCCCAAACAGATAAGGAAGTGTGAGGGTGGCAGAGGCCCGGGCAGTGTTTAGCTGTGCTCAGTGTAAGGTCGTCGTTAGTCGGATCCGACTTGACGGTGACCAGTAGCCACACAACTCACATGCTTCTGTTTGTGGGCTTCACGTGTGTTCAATCAAGCTGTTCTTTGAGCTGCTGTTACTGATTTTACAGTTAAGGAAATCAGACATGGAACAGTTAAGTAATTCTCAATGGCACAGGTAGGCAGGTCTCAAAACCAAGCATTAATAAACTCTTTCCAAAGTATTTTTATAAATGCCCAAACCATGTGCTCAAAGAAATTCATGTCACAAAATTTGTTCCACAGAAATACTTGTACTGTGTAGTATTGTTTATTATAGTGAAACCTGGAATCGACTTTACCCATTGCTAAAGCAGAGTGGTGTCCCTAACAATGGTGACAGCCGCACTGAATTAGCACATGGCTGATTGAGAAGAATGAATTACATCTGTATATCTGTGTGGTGGCCTTTTGGGCTGCTAAGGTCAGCAGTTCTACTCTTACCAGTGACTCTGATGGAGCAAGATGAGGCTCCCTGCTGCCATATTCATAGTCCTGGAAACCCAAAGGGGCAGTTCTGTTTTGCTCTAGAGGGTTGCTATGAGTTAAATCAACTCAATGTCAGTGTTGTTTTTTTTAAAAATATTTATATGGGAAAATTTGTAAGATAGATTGTTGAGTGAAAAAACAAGTATATGAGTATACACATAATCAATGAATTAATAATTAATATGGTAATGTAGCTAGCACTTTATCAGCATGCGACTTTGCAGATTTTCCCTACACAGTCACACATATGTACTACTAATATTTTTTTAAAAGATTAATGGTATTCTACTATATGAGTATTTTAATTAACTGTGGGCACATAAGCATCATAAAAGATGAAAGAATGCTGCCACACATCCTTTAAATGATTAGCCCAAGTTCTTGTAAAACTATGGCATGACGTTCTTCTCACTGGAATGAGTAACTTGATAAGAATACCATGTTTACTTTTTGTTCTTAGAAATATATTCTTCATCACTCAGTACCTAAGTCGAGACAATTCATTAGGACATGGACATCTAAAGGTTCTTAATTGAGATTTTATGGACAGGAGGGACCGTCTCACCATCTTCACTAGATTTTACATCAATGCTATTGTTAGCTGCTGCCAAGTTAGTCCAGACTCATAGGGATGTCTGTGTACAATAGCATAATACCCTGTCTGGTCCCATGTCATCTGCACAATTGTTTCTCTATTTGAAACCATTGTAGCAGCCATTGAACCAGTTTATCTTATTGAAGATCTTCTTTTTTGCCAACCTTCTCACCAAGCATGATGTCCTTCTCCAGGAACTAGTCTCTTCAGATAACATGTCTAAAGTACAGAGAATGGAATTGTGTCATCCTCATTTCTAGGGGACATTCTGGCTGCACTTCTAAGACAGATCTGCTTATTCTGCAGTCCATGGCACATTCAATGTTCTTTGCAGTGCTGTAGTTCAAAGACGTGAGTTCTTCAGTCTTCCTCATTCGTTGTTCAGTCTCCACGTCATGGAAGCTGATAGAAAGTGTCATGGCTTGGTTCGGGTGCATCCTGTTCTTCAAAGTGACATCTTTGCTTTTTAGCACTTTAAAAGAGATCTCTTGATGCAGATTTTCCCAATACAGTATGTCATTTGATTTTTTGGCAGCTGCCTCCATGGCTGTTCATTGTGGATCTAAACAAACTAAACCCTTGTCAACATGTCTTTCTCTGGCCCAGTTGTAAGGAGTTTGACTTTATTTCTGTTGAGGTGCAAGCCATGCTGAAGGCTATAGTCTTTGATTTTCCATAGTAAGTGCTTTGAGTCCTCTACCACTTTCAGCAAGTAAGCGCGTGCCACCTGCGTTTTGCAGGTTCTGCCTCCCTCTTCTTTCCTGTGGTCTTTTTCTAGCAGGCTTGTGAATAATTAGTGAGCAATGAAATAGTCCCTACCATGGTTTATTGAAGAGCCCTGGTGGCATAGGGGCTTATGTGTTGGACTGCTCACTGAAAGTTCGAAACCACCAGCTGCTCCGTGGGAGAAAGCTGAGGCTTATTACTCCCGTAAAGGTTTACATTCTCTTTAGTACACAGGGCCAGCTCGACTCTATCCTACAGGGCCACTGCGCATTACAGTCGACTCGATGGCAGTGAGTTTTGAGCTTTTCACCCTGATGAAATGAAAATATTTCAACAAAGGGGAAAAAATAACATCACTAAGATCCTATTATGGTGGAATAACCGTTCCTCGGAAGTTAAACATCGGATCACCATATGACCCAGCATGGGACCAAAAGAACTGGCAGCAGGAATGCAAATAGAAACTGTGCACCGATGTTTATTGCAGCAAGATTCACAAAGCCCAAGGGTAGAAACAACATGAATGCCCATCAGAGGGTAGCTAACCAAAATGCTGTACATGTACGTTATATCATACGACTCAGCCTTCAAGAGAAATTGAAGCTTCAGATATGCATGGGTGAACTCGAAAACAGGATGCCAAGGGAAATAGTCACAAGGGCAAACATCATTGGATTCCACACATAGGAAATAAGAAAATGCATGAAATAGGAAAATGTGTGTGAACCGAAACAGGAGAGAGGGAGGCATCTTTGGTTAGAGGGCACCGAGTTGCTGCTAATGGTGAGGGACTAACGGGGAAAAGGAGAGCGACTGTGGTTGGTTGTACAACTTAATGAATATAATCAATATCACTGACTGATACATGCAAATATTATTGAACCGGCAAGTGTTTGGTTATCTATATGTCTTAACAATATTTGAAAAAAAAATCCTATATCTTAGGTTTGTAAAGGGGTCTTATGGATCCATATAGTAACTACCTATTTAAAAATTTAAAAAAATAAGTAAATTGTCTATTTGCTATTTTTAAGAAAGGATAAAATTAATGAAAGACCAAATAGTTATAACTGCTCAAAAAAGGAATGCTAAATCAGATCTCATAGCGGCGTGAACACCCCATCCCCACCCCGAGCTGGTCAGACATTAAGAATTGCTCCTGATAAGATTCCCTTGCCCTTGCGTGCATTCTTACTGGATGGGCGAAGTAGAACTGCTCCCTACAGTTTGCAGACTGCCTCGTCTCCCTCCCCCCATGTGCCTCCCCCACCCCCCGCCAACTGCTGATAGATTTGAGCTGCTGATCTCGTGCTTAGTAGCCCAATGGGTAATCAAGGACTCTACCCTGGCTTGCCCATCTTGTAGGGTTGCAGTAAATCAGAATCAATTTGAGACCATGTGACTGGACTCTGATTATATGCCCAGAAATGCCCAGCAGGTGGCGAAGGAAGAGCAGGAGAAACACAATGGTTTGCCTGCTCAACAAAGAACCTTGCCTAGGAGAACTCTTTCTTTCTACTGGGAAAAGTGCGCTGTAAGTCACAGTGGAACAGCAAAGCATTTAAAAGACACACGTTTGCAGAAAAACCAAAGAGGTTTTCGGGGAAATATTAAAAAGCAATGAGCTATTAATCCTCAGGAATAGAATGTTGGGGCCCCTGGTGGCATTGTGCTTTCAGCCTTGTGCTGCAAACTGTAAGGCTGGCGGGTCAAACCCACCAGCTCCTTAGGAGACAGAGGGGGCAGTCTGTTCTCACAGAGATTTCTAGGCTCAGAAATCTTACAAGGCAATTCTACTCTGTCTGATAACTGAAAAACACAAAAACAAACTCACTACCATCAAGTTGGTCCCAACTCATAGTGACCCTGTAGGACAGAGGAGAGCCGTGCCTGTGGGTTTCTGAGGCCATAAGTCTTAATGGGAGCAGAAAGCCTTGTTTTTCTCCCCCAGAGCAGCTCGTGGTTTTGAACTGCTGATCCTGTGGTTAGCCCAGCTGGTAA